CCTCCATAGCTACATATTCTGACTATAATCTCATGGCTCTAACTGAGACCTGGTTGAGGCCGGAGGACACTGCTACACATGCTACTCTTTCTGCTAATTTCTCTTTTTCCCACACTCCTCGTCAGACAGGGAGAGGGGGTGGGACTGGACTACTAATTTCCAAAGAATGGAAATTTACTCTGATACCGTCCCTGCCAACAATCAGCTCCTTTGAATTCCATGCAGTCACCATTATCCACCCCTTCTACATAAATGTGGTTGTCATCTACCGCCCACCAGGTAAATTAGGTCACTTCCTAGATGAACTGGATGTTCTTCTCTCATCTTTTTCTAATTTTGCCACTCCCTTATTGGTGCTAGGTGACTTCAACATTTACGTTGACAAACCGCAAGCTGCAGACTTTCAGACTTTGCTTGCCTCTTTTGACCTAAAAAGAGCACCTACTTCTGCTACCCACAAATCAGGTAATCAGCTAGACCTTATTTACACACGACACTGCTTCACTGATCAAACAATAGTAACTCCACTACAAATATCTGATCATTTCCTTCTGTCTCTCAACATCCACATTACTCCTGAGCCGCCACACACTCCAACACTGGTTACCTTTCGCAGAAACCTACGATCTCTCTCACCCAATAGACTATCCACCATTGTTTCAGACTCTCTTCCTCCATCTCGCAAACTCACTGCACTTGATTCGAACAGTGCCACTAATACACTCTGCTCCACACTAGCATCATGTCTAGACCGATTATGTCCTCTTGCATCCAGGCCAGCCCGTGCCAGTCCTCCTGCACCCTGGCTCTCGGATGCTCTCCGTGAGCATCGCTCAAAACTTCGGGCTGCGGAGAGAATTTGGCGGAAAACTAAAAATCCTGCACATCTCTTAACATACCAAACTCTTCTGTCCTCTTTCTCAGCTGAGGTTACTTCTGCAAAGCAGACGTATTACCGTCTGAAAATCAACAATGCCACTAATCCTCGCCTACTTTTTAAAACATTTTCCTCCCTCCTCTATCCTCCTCCTCCACCCGCATCCTCCACACTTACTACTGATGACTTTGCTACATTCTTCTGCACCAAAACTGCAAAAATCAGTGCTCAATTTGCTGCACCTACAACAAACACGCAAGATACAACACCAACACCACACACACTCACCTCTTTTTCTCAGCTCTCTGAGTCTGAGGTGTCCAAACTTGTGCTATCTAGCCATGCAACCACCTGTCCACTCGATCCCATTCCCTCTCATCTCTTGCAAGCCATCTCTCCTGCAGTCATACCAACACTGACTCACATAATTAACACATCTCTTGACTCTGGTTTATTCCCCACTACATTTAAGCAGGCTAGGGTAACCCCACTGCTAAAGAAACCCAACCTGGACCATACGCTACTTGAAAACTACAGACCAGTATCCCTGCTTCCATTCATGGCCAAGATTCTGGAGAAAGTAGTGTTCAATCAAGTCCTGGACTTTCTTACTCAAAACAATCTCATGGACAACAAGCAATCCGGCTTTAAGAAAGGCCACTCAACTGAGACTGCCCTGCTCTCGGTCGTGGAGGATCTCAGACTGGCTAAAGCAGACTCTAAATCATCAGTCCTCATTTTGCTGGACTTGTCAGCTGCTTTTGACACTGTCAACCACCAGATCCTGCTATCTACGCTTGAGTCACTGGGCGTTGCGGGCACTGTTATACAATGGTTCAGATCTTACCTCTCTGACAGGTCATTCAGGGTGTCTTGGAGGGGAGAGGTGTCCAACCTACAGCATCTAAACACTGGGGTACCTCAAGGCTCTGTTCTTGGGCCACTTCTCTTCTCCATCTACACATCATCTCTAGGACCAGTCATCCAGAGACATGGATTCTCCTACCACTGCTATGCTGATGATACCCAGCTATACCTCTCTTTTCATCCTGATGATCCCTCGGTTCCAGCTCGTATCTCAGCCTGCCTGTTGGATATTTCACACTGGATGAAAGATCATCATCTTCAGCTGAACCTCGCAAAAACGGAAATGCTTGTAGTTTCTGCCAACCCTACTCTACACCATAACTTTTCAATCCAGATGGATGGGGCAACCATTACTGCATCCAAAATGGTGAAAAGCCTTGGAGTAACGATTGATGACCAACTAAACTTCTCTGACCACATTTCTAGAACTGCTCGATCGTGCAGATTTGCACTCTATAACATCAGAAAGATCCGACCCTTCTTATCTGAACATGCAGCTCAACTCCTTGTTCAAGCTCTTGTTCTCTCCAAACTGGATTACTGCAACTCTCTACTAGCTGGGCTTCCAGCTAACTCTATCAAGCCTCTTCAACTGCTCCAGAATGCAGCAGCACGAGTTGTCTTCAATGAACCTAAACGAGCACATGTCACTCCGCTGCTAGTCCGTTTGCACTGGCTGCCAGTTGCTGCTCGCATCAAATTCAAAACTCTGATGTTTGCCTACAAAGTGACTTCTGGCCTAGCACCTTCTTATCTGCTCTCGCTTCTGCAGATCTATGTGCCCTCCAGAAACTTGCGTTCTGTGAATGAACCTCGCCTCGTGGTTCCATCCCAAAGAGGAAAAAAATCACTTTCGCTCACGCTCACGCTCAATCTGCCCAGTTGGTGGAATGAACTCCCTAACTGCATCAGAACAGCAGAGTCACTCGCTATTTTCAAGAAACGACTAAAAACTCAACTATTTAGTCTCCACTTCACTTCCTAATCTGCAATTGCCTATTTGAATATCACACTAACTGTACAAAAAAAAAAAAAAAAAAAAAAATTACTAACACTTCCCTTCTTAGACTTTACAGACCTGAAACTTGCCTTTAGTACTTATTCATTGTTGCTCTTAGTGGTGTAAATTGCTTCCTTGTCCTCATTTGTAAGTCGCTTTGGATAAAAGCGTCTGCTAAATGACTAAATGTAAATGTAATGTAAAATATGAGAGAGAGTGTGCTCTGTGGACTTGGTGTGTGTTTTCGGTAGAGTTTGAAAAAATGGGCTATATGCAATCATGGTCTTATAAAAGAAAACATTCAGAAATTGATTTAAAAATTGATGCCCAAAAAGTGCTTAGTGCTGGACAAAGCCAGAAAGTGTGAAAAAGAGTGGCTGGAGATTGTTGACACCCGTTACAAGTTAGATCAAAACCAGGCCGAGATTCATAATTTAAACAAACATTTTGAAATATATTTTATTTAATTAAAATTGTTTCCTGAAAAACACACGTCCTCTAACCTATAAGGAAAACGAAAGGAAAATACTAGATTCAGTAGATTCACATTATTATGTTTTTAAATCCCATCCACACATCTTTAATCTAATTCATTTCTGACTTCATATCCTTATACATTAAATATACATATAAAAAGAAATAAAACTCTTCAAGTAGACTACTCCCACTGAGATCATGAAGTAATGTGGACTATCAGTTCTGTTCAGATACCATGATATTTGCCGCCCTCAAGTGGTTGAGAAAGAGAATACAACCAATAAGAAAGTATTAGCGATGCAGCATTAAACTGCAGAAGTACGGAATTAAACATTTATATAAGTGTTTGAACAAGTATTAACACAAGTAGATTTACATTTATAATATGATTTAATATTTATTTTAGCTTTATTTTAGGCATTACTATAAGAATTGTCAGGTATTATGTATGCAATATGTAGTTCAGCAAATTTTAAAACAAAACAAATTGATCTCAAGGTCTTTCTATTTGATGTCATAATTAGAACGTCAAAGTGGAATGTTAAGGCTTGACGGTGTAATTTAGTTTTAGTGGGTAGTTTGGAGTGAGACAGTGCGTTTGTTTTATCATGGGTCAGCGAATTTCTTGTCTGAATATAGCGACAGAGTCAGAGTGTGTGTACAGTTTACATCCTAGTACACCACTTCAGTTAAATAATGACCCGCCTCGTCAAGAAAACCATCAGCTTGATGAGAGCCGTGTTGTTCCTTGTGAGGAAGATGGAGTAGGGAGTTTGGTAAAGGAGAAAAAGAAAGTGAAGAAAAAATCGAGTTTTTGGAGAAAGCTGTTCCGCTTTTCACGCCAAAGAACTGGAAGGGGTGAAAAGGTGGAGCAGGTGGACAGTGAGAAGGTGAAGCCAGTCACCGAAACAGAACCTTCTACTGATGGTAAATCCCTTTATTTTTTCTGTGACTGGAAAAAAAATTAATAAAAATGATCACCATAGCTTTAAAATATTGTCTCTGCAAATATATGTATTTGTAAAAGGATTGAAACGTTTCTGTGTGTTTTAATTAAAGTAAATGTTGAATGTATGTTCCCCTCTTTAGATCAAACCTCAGTAGGAAACATCTCAAGCCCTGTTGAGCATCATGACTACCAGCAAGCTCCTAACAGCCTTGAGGTTCCTTCCTCCATCATTGACCTGCAAATACAGGAACAGTGTGAGAATGTGGAGCTGGAGGAAGAAACGTCTACTGATGGTAAATCTCTTCATCTTTTGTGTTTACTGAACTTATTCATTAAAGAAGATCATCATAGCTTTAAACATTTGCAGAGTTCAAATGTTCAGATGTGCAGATGTTTGTGTATCTGAACTCTTCAGTTTTGTCTTTGTAAATACTATAAATGTATTATTTGTAGCAGTATTGAAATGTTTGTTAGTTCATATATAATTGTTATATTTTCCTCTTTAGATCCAACTTCAGTGGAGACCATATCTTCTGTAGAGAGTAATGGTCCTCAGAACACTCCCAACAGTAGTTTTGAGATTCCTCTCTTCACTGTTGACGAACAAATCCAGGAGTTTCCAGATGATCTGTCAGAGGAAGAAACTGTGTGTCCTCTGGCAGAAAACCCAAGCCAAGACATGGTCTTGGTTATTGGGAGTAAGTTCATATTAATTATGGCTGCTTGATGCTTTCACTTTTTGAAAGGATTAGATGTTTCTGCATTATGTATTAGTGACGTAATGGTGTATAAAGTGGTAATAAAGTTTTACTTTTGCATTGTAGAATATGAATCTGTCTCTACAACTAATTATATTTGAACAGGCATGTGCTGGACCTACAACATGGGTGAGCTACTGGGAGAAGGAGGATTTGGTGCCGTATATGCTGGTGTCCGTGCCCATGATGGTCTTCCGGTAAATTTACATATATTTTTGCATAATCAACCTAACAAACTATATTTATGTGTTATGCTTTGTCTTTTGTAGCACAATTAGAGCCCTTGATAAATGGTCAACTTGACCAAACATGCTACAAATTTATGACTAGAATTTCAACAAGGATTATTGAATGGCCTGATGTAATCCAGTGCTAACTTGTTATATTCTGTTTTGTTGATCAGGTGGCAATCAAGTTTGCCAAAAAAATGGAGGGCATGGAATATCTCTACGTTGTAAGTAAACTCATCTCCTCTAACTCTGTTTTTTATTTTCAACAGTGTTAATCATAGACAGCAAACTATCTCTCAATAAACAAATTATAAACATGTTGTGCAAACCACCTTAATTTAACCATCCTAAAAACTCTTTCCACTAGCCTGGCCTTCCAGAACTTGTACCACTTGAAATCGGCCTCACACTTATGGCAAACAAGGGTCCCAGCTCACCCAACATAATCGATCTGCTGGATTGGCAGGACTTTCCAGACCATTATATAATGGTCCTGCAGCGCCCTTCACCATGCCTGAGTGTGTTCAAGCTGTTGGAGAGCTGTGGCAACATCTTTGAAGAAAGGTTTGCTCGGTATGTGATGCGCCAGGTTATCGAGGCAGCTGAGACCTGCTGCCGGCGCGGAGTATTCCACAGAGATATCAAATTGGAGAACTTGATCATCAACACACACACCATGGATGTCACACTGATTGACTTCGGCTGTGGGAACCTGTTCCATGAAACAGAGTACCACACTTTTAGTGGTATGTACAGTATTAAAACTTTAGTGTCATGACACACAAGCTGCTGAATACAGTAAAAACAAACTGTTGTAACTCAGACATGCAAATCTCTTTCCTCCAGGCACAGAGATGTACTGCCCTCCAGAGTTTTTCGAAACGGGCAAATACTTAGCACGGCCAGCAACTGTGTATTCGCTTGGAGTGCTGCTATACACTATGGTGTGCGGATATATGCCAGTCTACACGGATCGGGAAAAGATGCAGCACTGGCTGTGGTATCTGCCGTCCTTGTCGTGTGGTAAGAACTTGAAAAAATTGTAACAATCATACAAAAAAGTGTCTGACAAAGCTACTTGGCTCAGCTGTCCAAAATGCCATCAGGAGATGTAAAGGATGTTTAAAGTAATAGTCAAACATTAATCCTGTCTTTCAGAATGCAGTCATCTCATAAATGCCTGTCTGCATCCCGATCCCAGCGAGAGGATACAACTGGAGCAGATCCTCCTCCACGACTGGTTTACGGTACCTATGATCTACAAAAACTTTTCAAAATGTCAGTTTTTTTGAGGACAATAAACCTGATTTTGTTTTTGTTTTTACTTTAGATCTCACCATCAGACATGGAGGATGAGCGCCCGGTCCTGGTCATGCAGGAAGAGCTGATTAGCCAGGCATGCTAACACCAGTGGCCTCACCACCTCTCCAGTCCTTTGCTTCTTACTATTGTCTGGTGTCAGATCTTGAGGCAGCAATATTTGCGTCTTGCGGTGTTGCTGCCAAAAATGTATTGTTGAATTGAAATAAAATTGTGTCAATTGAACTGTTGTGTTTGTCATGTTTTTGTCCCATTTATTTGCTGAATTAGAATTGGAGTTTGCATTAAGCCTAGTAAGACGATGATTAACTAGTACAGGTGTATTTTATTATAAAAGAAGCTAAAAAAAGAATATTGTGGTCCTCCAGGAGCTGAATTGGACATAGTAAGTAGTAAGGAATTTGTATTTATACTGCACATTTATTGTGTATGACCATACACCCAAAGAGCTTCACAATCATGAGGGGGGTCTCTCCTCACCACCACCAGTGTGCAGCATACACTTGGATGATGCAATGGCAGCCACAGGACAATGGTGCTAGTTCGCTCACCGCACACCAGCTTTTGGTGGAGCTTCAGTGAATAACTGGTCTTGGGCTGCAGGGTGATATGGCTGTGGCTGTGATATTTCTGCACTATGAATATATACAAGTGAGAAACTGCATTCTACATGATGCCCTGGTTGCTGACTTGTGTCACTGAAAGAGACATATCAGTCTTTAAAATGATGGAAGCATTGATCTATAGATAATTCAATATCTGCATCAACACAACGACAACAAAAAAGCATGTTTGGAAGTATTAGCAGAATAATAAAAATTATTTAAAAATAGAAAGGAATGTGGTTGAGAACCAGCTGATTAAGCCATAGGGATGAGCCCTTCTAAAAGATTGTATGTGGTAGAGACGTCTCTCATAAAATAAAACATTCATTATAATCTCAAGTTTTTAGTTGAAAATGTTTAACACAAAGGTCAGTTAACAAATGGGCTATAAGCACACAGACTTTTAATTTCAGTCAGCCAGCCCCAGGGTTTCCGGTTAATTGTCATCCCATACAAAATCGCTGTGTTTAAGATCAGATTTCTAAATGCAGTCGTCATTTGCTTTATACATTTAACACAAAATTTAGTTTATGAATATTGATCTTTGTTTATTATTTGATTATCTGTATTTAAGTAACTAGTGTTGGCTGGTTTGAGAAATAGTTATATTATGAGGTGCAGGAAACGTGGTTGCTTTTTTTTGGCAAGTTTTAGGTGTTGATATTAAAGCATGTTGCTAGTTTTGTCAGTTTTAAAAAACGAAAGCCATTTTTTTGTTTTGTTTTTCGGAAATTTAAATGTTATTTTTATTTTATTCAAGAAACACTTGCATCCTTGTCAGACTATAACTTGGAAAAGCCAGTGAGGGGATGATACATGGATGTCATATGGGAGTAATCGCCAGGGCTGGAGTGGGACTCCTTTTCAGCCCTGGAGTTTCAAGCCTCAGACCGGCCCACCTCAGTTCACGACTGACTATATTAAAATAAGTAAATAAATAATTATTTCCAAATCAGTTTCTAATGACACTATCACGTCTTTTTTTTATTTTTTTGAGAAAACTGCTGCTTTAGAACTTCAAATGTTCAACAACCCTAACAGTATTATATGTCTTATCAATAAAAATGAAAATACTAATTTACTCTAACGAGGATCTAACCCGGGTCCACGGCGTCTTAACCTAACGTGCTAACCGCTTGACCACAACAATGAATGGTTTTATGAATGGTGACACAACTGAGTTTTATCATCATTAAAATAGATCAAAAGAGAAGATAAAATAATGAATAAAAAGGCTGTGGTCAAGTAAATAAATAAATTTAAAAAGTGTGACTGAATGAATGAAACAAAGGTATATGTAGCGCTACTTAATGAATGACTTTGTGTGCACACAATAGCGTAAATCCAATGCATTGGTTGCTTAAGTTTTAAAGTTGCTAAGGAGGCAAATGATTTTAATTTGTAAATATGAGTTTAATAAATTGTGATGATGATGGTGCGGCTACCTGTGAACAGACAGAGACTATTGTGCTGTTTGAGAAGGTTGAAACAGAGCATGTGAGGGAAAAGCGGCTCCTTAGGCTCACTCCTAAGGCATTATTGGAAAAATTGGAAACTCTGCAAAGGACAAGAAAGTGTAAACTAAGCAAGGCAAAGAACTTAATGGCTATTATAAAGGATTTTATGTCCAACCAAGAATATGAAAAGGAGGTGCAGTGTTCTTTTGAGAAATTCATCAAATTGAGAGACGAAACAAAGGAAATACACAATTCCGTGATGGTTCTTTTGCCCAGTGAAAAAAAGGAAAAACAACAAACATGGTTCAATGGAAAAATGTTGATTTTCGATGAGTTTGTAGATGATGTTGAGAAATGGTTGAGCGCTGAAATTCAAGTTTCATGTTCTGGTGTTGATGAAAGGGTATGTCAAGAGGATGTTAATCCAGATGATAGCGTTTCCAACATCTCCTCATGCAAAACAGGAGCCGGTGACGATGGAGACTGTGCATTATCAATTGTACCAGTTCAAGTCAAATCCAGTAAGGGACAAACGGTAATTTAAACCTATGCATTTTAGGATCCTGGCAGTTCTGCCACATTTTGTTCAGAACGCTTAATGCACAGTTTGAAATTAAAGGGAAAGCAAACTAATATTGTTTTGAAAACAATGGGCATTCAAATGGCTGTTAATAGCACGGTTTTGACTGGATTGGAAGTGTCTAACCTTCTTGATGACACCTTTTATAGTCTTCGAGAAGTCTTCACTCTAGAAAGAATGCCTGTATCCAGAGACAACACTGTCACTCAAAGGGATTTGGAAAATTGGCCATATCTGAAAGGTGTTGAGATTCCTCAAATTCCTGCTGATGTGGATTTGCTGATTGGAGCAAATGCTTCCAGGGTAATGGAGCCCTGGGAGGTTATAAACAGAAATGGAGATGGACCTTATGCAGTTAGAACCCTATTGGGATGGGTTGTAAATGGACCACTCCAAGGAAGCAGGAATATGGTCAAATGTTCAGGTGTGACTGTTAACAGGATTTCTGTAAGAAAATTGGAGGATATGCTCAGTAAACAATACAATCATGACTTTAATGAGAATGCTGTTGAAAAGAAGGAAATGTCAAGAGAAGAGCAAGCATTTATGGAAAAGGTAAGCAAGTCAATTGAGTTTCAAGATGGACATTATAAATTTAATCTTCCTTTTAGGATGGAAACTCCCATGTTGCCAAACAACCTTTGTGTGGCTAAACAGCGCTTAATTGGATTGAAAAGAAACTTTTAAATAAACAAGATTTTCCATCAAGAATATAAAGATTTCATGGATGAGGTAATTCAACACGGTTATGCTGAAATAGTACCGTTACATCAGTTAAAACAGGATGAAGGGAAAGTTTGGTATATCCCTCACCATGGGGTTTATCACCCCAAGAAGCAAACATTAAGAGTTTTGTTTGAATTTGGAGCTGCCTTTAAAGGTACATCATTGAATGATCAGCTTATGCAGGGTCCTAATCTGACAAATTCACTGTTGGGAGTTCTTGTAAGGTTTCGACAAGAGGCAATTGCATTTATGGCTGATGTAAAAGCAATGTTTCACCAGGTTAAAGTTGCAGCAGAAGATACTGACTTTCTTCGTTTCCTATGGTGGCCAGATGCTGATATCAATCAGGACTCTGTGGAATACAGGATGAAAGTGCATTTGTTTGGTGCTGTGTCGTCCCCAAGTTGTGCTTGCTATGCTTTACGTAGAACTGCAGTTGACAAAAAGTTGACTTTCCTGAAAAGGTAATTGACACAATTCACACAAACTTCTACATGGATGATTGTTTGAAAAGTGTACCTTCTGAGGAAGAGGCCATCTTGATGATCAAGGATCTCACAGATGTCTGCTTAGCAGGAGGTTTCCATTTAACTAAATGGATCAGCAATAGCCATATTGTGCTACAAAGTGTACCTGAAGAACACAGAGCCCAGGGCATAAAAATGATGGATCTGGACGAGGACCAGTTGCCAATGGAAAGAGCTCTTGGTTTGTGCTGGTGTGTTGAATCCGACACTTTCAATTTTAAAATAACTAGCAAAGATCATCCTTGCACCAGGTGTGGTGTTCTGTCAAAGGTATGTTCTGTTTATGATCCTTTAGGATTTTTGGCGCCATTCACTCTTAAGGCAAAAATTCTCCTGCAAGAGTTATGTAGGATAAGATGTGGATGGGGTGATCTGCTACCCTCAAATCTCCAAAGGCAGTGGTCTTTATGGTTAAAAGAGTTTGGGAAGATTGCAGATTTCAAGATGGACAGATGTCTAAAACCAGCAGGAATGGATGAACTTACCAATGTTCAGTTGCATCATTTTGCTGACGCAAGTACACTTGGATATGACACTGTGACGTGCCTTAGGATGGAGACAAAACACGATGCCCACGTAACTTTCCTACTCAGTAAGGCTAGAGTAGCACCTTTGAAATCAGTAACTATTCCACATCTTGAACTGACAGCTGCTGTGCTTGCTGCTCGAGTGGACAAAATGTTAAGGGCAGAGTTGCAGTTTCCATTGGTGGATTCAGTATTCTGGACAGACAGTATGTCCGTGTTTAAATACATAAAAAATGAGGACAAACGTTTTCTTACCTTTGTCGCCAAC